TTCACTGCCAGATGCAGATTTTATGCCTTTGCTTGTAGCTCTTTCGCTGTCTGCGTAAGAATCATGGAATCACAGACTGGTTTGCATTGGAAGGGACATTAAAAAACATCCAGTTCCAATCCCCCTGCATGGGCAGGGACACCTCCCACCAGACCAAGCCCAATCCAATCTGCCCTTGAACACTCACAGGGCTAGGGCAGCCACAGCTTCTCTAGGCAACCCATCCCAGTGTCTCGCCTCCCTCACACAAAAGAATTTCTTCCTAATGTCTCACCTAAATCTCCCCTCTTCCAGTTTTGATCCATTACCCCTTGTCCTCTCACTACAAGCCCTTGTAAAAAGCCCCTCCCCAACTTTCCTGGAGCCCCTTCAGATACTAGAAGGCTGCTAGGAGGTGTCCCTGGAGCCTTCTTTTCTCAAGGCTGAACAAACCCAGCTCTCTCAGACTTCTTTGTACAGTAAATGAGAGATAGGAAAGATTAGAGGTTTTGTGGATGCAACTCAGGTGTTTCCCCATACATCACTGCCATGGAGCCCCTAAAGTGTAGCCCAATATCTGTAACTGGAGAATAATACCGTTCTGAACTCAGTTTCCAAAAACTTTACTGCATTAAATGAGAAGATATGCTTAGAGGAACTATAAGTAAGTAATAGCATCTTATTAGTTTAAGATGTTTTTTCTTGCTTGTCTAATAAAAAATGAGCCCTGATGTGAAAATGCAATTGGCAAGCAGGCAATTCATAATCTAGTTTGATAGCTATTTCCATTTTGAAATAGCAGATGATGTATACATGTAATAATGTAAATTAAGGACTAAACTATAGCCAGCTCTGCAGCCTCAAAGTTGTTGAAAAGTTTTCACACCCAATGGGCAGTTCCCATGGAAATACAGTTGCTCAAGAATGAGTACCTCATTGTTACCAAAATGAACAAAATGTAATTTTCCATCTCCTCCCCATGGCCTGATGCTTTTGAATCTGCTGCTGCTGGAATGAACAAAGTGTGTCACGACTGTTGGCATCTTTCCAGTGGCATAATCAAAAAAATTACCTCCTGTGGGGCTTCAGGCCTGAACATTATTATTGTCAATCTTCATTGGCTGATCTAAAGGACTTGAAAATTTAAGTAGGAGGTGAAAAAATCTCATACAGAGAGAATATGGGAAAATATGGAAGAACCAGTAATTCTTTGACACTTGAGCTCTGCTTTGACCTGTATCTATTTGTTCCTCTTGTGCATCCATTTCAAGCAAAGTTTGGTCATAAATCCAATAGAATTTTATTAGTAAAGTAATAAATAACTAAAACATCTCTCACATGTGAACATTCGTATTTCTAGTGAGAAGTGCTTCTTATTGTAGCACATTTTGCAGGATCTGGTGCTGAAGACTATAAACTGCCTGTTAAATACTGTCACAATCATTTCCATTATACCAGGGGGAGTTCTGATTTGGCAAGTAAACAGTCTCTTCAAATATTTCACTTCTATATCTCCCTTGTAGATCCTTGTGCCCAAGACCACAAATTTAGAGGGTCTGCTTGTGATTTGACTAGCAGAAACAATACAGCACAAAATCCCTGCCCTCTTTTTCTGTGTCCTTTCATATTCATTGGTCAAGTAAAAAAAAATTGGAAAACAACTATAGCCCAAATAAATGTAAATTACAATGTATATTGCAAGAAGACAAATGAGGTTCTCTTCCCCCTCTCTTCTGCCTTGGTGCGGCCACATCTGGAATATTGTGTCCAGTTTTGGGCCCCTCAGTTTCAAGAAGGACAGGGAACTGCTTGAAAGAGTCCAGGGCAGAGCTACAAAGATGATGAAGGGAGTGGAACATCTCCCTGATGAGGAAAGGCTGAGTGAGATGGTTCTCTTTATCTTGGAGAAGAGGAGACTGAGGGGCGACCTCATCAATGTTTACAAATATGTTAAGGGCAGTGTCAGGACAGAGCCAGAATTTGTTCAGTGATGACCAGTGATAGGACAAGGGGCAGTGGGTGCAAACTGGAACATAGGAGGTTCCACGTAAACATCAGAAAAAACTTTTTTACTGTGAGAGTGACAGAGCCCTGGGACAGGCTGCCCAGAGAGGTTGTGGAGTGTCTTTCTCTGGAGACATTCAAACCCTTCTGGACATCTTCCTGTGTGATGTGCTCTAGGTGATCCTGCTCTGGCAGGGGGGTTGGACTAGATAATCTTTCTAGGTCCCTTCCGACCCCTAAGAGTCTGTAATTCTGTGATTCTGTGAATTGCAGTGGTCAACTATAATAAGCATCTTTATCTTTTTTTTTGAGGAGAGAAATAATCTGAGCAGTGAACTCTGTCAAGATATGAACAATCTCCTTGGGGAGTTGGTGGAAATTCCTTCATTTGAATATGTTAGACATGATTCAGAAATAGCTTCTAGATAAAGAGCAGAGAATAATTTATGTTACTTTGACTCAATTATGGTATCTAAACATAGAAATATATGTCTGGATACAACCACATAATAAGGGTTTTATTGGAAAACATTCTCATGTCATTCCTTCTTGTTCACATGCTACAGAAATCTTGTTTGGGCACTCAAAAAAGAGGCAGAGTACTCCAACTAGGGCCTCACTCTGCAGTTTCACAGTATCTTCTCTCAAGTCTTTTTTTATATAGTGTAATAATTCTAGATTGACATCTGCCATTTTATACAATAGCATTGAATTATTAGACACATTGCAAAAATCCATTTGACTTCTCTTTCTGGTTTAACAACACACCACAGGTAATTCTTCATTGAGCTGCTTTTCCTTCTAAGAATGTCAGGTGTGGCCATATAAAAAATCCCACTGAGGTCAAGCTGCATCATATCTCCTGCTCCTCCCTACCCACTAGTTTGCTGCCCTGACAAGTAAAATGTTGTAATAACTTGATGAAACCTATTTTGACAAATCTGTGGCCTGCCCAACATCTGCTCATTATTTACAAGAGTATTAAACATTAATTGCTTTACATCATGTTTCATTTTCTTTCTGGGTACAGAAATTAGGCTCAGTGTGCTGTAATTCTTCCCTCTTTTCTTCTCTACATTTATGTAAATAGAGATGTGCTTTTTCTGTTTTTAAATCCATGGAGCTTTCACTGTTACAGTTTTTCTTGAGTTTTCAAAGATGATTCAAGAGTTGCTCTGATTATTTATCTTTCAGTAAGCTAAAACTTCTCAAATACATGAGTTTATTCAACTCTTTTAGTCTTCCCCCAAGCTTTGGGTTTTACTTTTTAAAAATAAAAAGCATTGGTTTTAAAAATATTTTACTTTATTTTTTCTTGAGACTCCTTCATAAATATAATGACCTTATGAGCTTGGGTGCTAAGACAGTTGGAAGTTACTTATTCCCTTATCTTACTTCAAAACTTTTGTAGCTGGGTAAAATCTGCATAAGTCATCACACATCTTTCATCTGTTTACATGAACAAATGTATATGTGTATATTTCTATATAGAGGCAGAATAGACACAATTTGAATAGATATGTCCCTTTAAAGGGTTCCCCTTTAATATCCAGTCAGTAATAAATGATAGGACAGTTGAACTTGTAGTTGCTGCTAATTGTTCTTGTAAACTAGTCTTGAATAATTTTTTTTCTCATGTTTTTGCTTTGAATCAGACAGCAAATAAGATGCATAAAACAGATTTTTTTTATTAGTAAAATATATTTAAGGGCACTCAGTCAAGTAGAAAATGTGGTTTCCTGACACAGCAAAAGTTGCCTTCCTATGAAGAATTGTCACTGCTCTTGATCAAAATCCCCCTTTATATTCATCAGCTGAGATCAGCCCTCCCAAAAAGTGTATTAGAAATAGGGTCTAGGGAAAAAAAATTATACAGAAAGATAATATTGCAGCAAAAAAAAGTCAGCTGAGTTAGAAATCAAAATAATGAAGCTGGTTTTTATGATTTGGATACCTAGATACTAGAAGAGGGCAAAAAATAAATATATGAATATAGTGAAAAGAAAGCTATGTCTAAGTCTTATACTTGAGACAAGTTCCTTAAGTGTGTAAGAATTAGTCCCAATGGATTTTATATCCATGTTTCTAATGAAACGTTGATTCTATTCATCCTGTACTGTTTGAAAGCAGAATTGTCCAAGAATTGTGTTAAAATACTGAAGAACAGAGGTAACTAAGTACAGAAGTATAAGTGCATTATAGTTAGTGGGACCTGGTGTTCATGTTCCTGTTTGTAGGATTTGGGTTTAAGTTGTTAGAGGTCTGATTCAGGGAACATTTATCTTTCTACATATGCAGAAAGTGATTATACCTTCAAAGGAATCCTGTATAAAATTTGAAGATAAGCCTCTGGTAACTTCAAAGAATGCCTTCAAACTATTTACATAAGTAAACAGTTTCTTTCAGATATGTTTTCAAAAAGCTCATACCACAGTTTATAATACTGTTAAGCTAAAATCTATGGCTGTTTTTCCTTTTATACACATGAAGGTAGTGAGGTAACAGGATGTTAATTTATGTGCTTTCACAAAAGTAATCTGCTAGATTTTGCATTTTATCCCTTATATGATTATTATTATTCATTATGAGCTAGCCAGTAGTTAGTTATTTAAACTAGTAGGCATAATGGCTACATTTTGCTTTGATCATTTGGTATAAATACATGCTGTGTTCATTCCAATTTGCAAAGGTTTTAAATGTACTTTCCTGTCAGCTCAGATAGCTTGCAGGCTTAAAAAAGTTAGTAAGTCACTTCTTTTAAAAGACATTCTTTGTTGTGCAATTGGAGGAGAGAATATGAAGATCAATATTTTCATGCTGTCAGAAAATTTGCTGGAGCTCTGCATGTGAACAGCCAGTACAGACTCACCCCATGAGCCTTCCTGAGTCTTGAAATTGTAGCAAGAATATGTACCACATCTACTGGAAAGTATTTCTGCCCAAAGGCAGGCATAAAATGTTCACTAAAGAAGGTGTCTAATCTTATTGCCTTTTTATTTTTATATTTTTAAATCTAGTTATGCCACGTTTTGCTGAACAAGTTGAGGTTGCCATTGAAGCTTTGAGTGCGAATGTCCCACAGCCCTTTGAAGAGAATGAGTTCATAGATGCCTCCCGTTTGGTTTATGATGGAGTTCGGGACATCAGGAAAGCTGTTCTCATGATAAGGGTATGTAAGGCACATGGGGAATAAAAGGTGGGACTTACAAAAAGGTATCACATTGGATGAGAGGAACATAAAAAGCCCTTGGAATCAACTTTGTTCCATAAGCCAGGAAAGCTTGATGTTGAAACAAGCGTGAAACAAAAGGATGTGCAGCAAAAAAAGAATTTGCAAGTAAATAGATGAGGGTATTTTAGGAAGTGAACCACATTTGTTAATCACCTAGGAGAAGACTTGATCACAGGTGCCAACAAACTTCTTGTAGTAGTGTTAATTTGCAAAGACCTTCAGAGTTTGTGTTGATTATTGTGGGTTTTTTTCTTCATGCACTGCCTAGGATATGAGGTAAGTCTGGTTAAAATCTAAATTAATAAATAAATTGCTGCTCCAGTGAGCTCTGCAGGGATGGTTTGGAGTGTTGACTGAGGTAAAGAATGTGTCTCTCAGTGCTGACTAACCAGTTGATTCTGTTTGCTTAAGCATCTCTAAACAAACAAATAAATTATAACCACAGAGCAACAAAATTCTTGTGAGAGTAGATGTGTGTCTTGCTTTTCAGTGTAGTCTAGAGTCAAAGATATAAAAAAACAACCAAACAACAACACAAAAAAAACCCCAAAACAAAATCAAACCCCAACGAACCAAACTTGTCTTGGACATTTCTTCAGCAATTGTAACTCTTATTTGGAACACAAACTGTCTGGAATCTGCCCCAGTGAAAGCCACATACAAATACAGCTACAGTGAAAATCACAAAGAAAACATGTGAAGCAAAGAACTGTGCTAAAACAACAACCCATCCCTTTGAGCAAACAGGTAACATACACTCGTGGTTATGGGTATATTGTGGCTCTGATGAAAGACTTCAGGCAGTTGGAGCACTCTGGAATAGCTTCATTTCAGTCATCTGTCATTATATATTAAACATGTACAGTATAAGATTTTGACAAGCTTAGTTTTATAGATGCAGAACAAAAATGCCATTTCAGTACCCAGTGCTGGTCTCAGGTATCCTGAATTACTGTCAAGACTGATGATGGGAGAAAACCTGTCCTGTTTCCTGGGTGTGCAGCATCAGGGTATTTGGAACTCTTCTGGACTGGGATGGAAATGAAAGATCTGCATAGTAAAGGATTTAAGTCTTTCCTTTGATTATCCAGTTATTTAGTCTGTAACAGTTGTTTCCAAACTTCTGTTTGGAACCACTTCTGTGGACATGTTAATCTTTTCTAATATCTCATGAGACATTTCAAGTGACCTCATGAGACACGATTATCAGGTGGTATCTGCTGTAGACCCACACTTCCCCATCCCCTCTGCAGGGGAATTCCAGCACCCCCCTGTACCACCTGTACCCTGTCCAAGAGAAGTTGCCATGAGACTGCCCATGTTTCTACTAAGTACTAAGCTAACATGTTTCTACTAAGCACAAAGCACCATTTTAAATTCTGGAGGCACTTTCCTTTATTTCATTGCTGTCTTCCTGTTATGTTTCCTAGTTTGGGAAGCTGATCATCATGCAGGCTTCACAGTCACCTCAGAAATAGCCCAGGTTACTTCTGCAATTGTATCACTGCCACTTTCCTCTTCTTGTGTGATATGAGTGTCACGATCCGGTATTCGGATACGTGGCAATTTTTTATAAAGGTGATCCCAAATGGTGAAATTAAGACACAAACGAGGTCAGATGTCATGCACACAACAAACTTTTATTGCAGTAACACAACAAAAGTCCCTAGAGCAGATAGGACAGGAAGGAAAACAGAGACAGAAAAGAGAGGAGAAAGCAGAGAGATAGAGGACAGCAAGCGAGAGCACAGTTACCACCCACGGTCCAGCGATGTTGTCGGTGGGGAAGTGGTTCCTGGTGGGGAAGTGCTTTTATGCACCCATAGAGTCCCAGATTTTTCTACAGTTCTTGCCCACTGCACCTCCACTTTTCTCCCTTTTGCATAAGGGAGAAAATCCTCCTGTCCTCTCCGTGATAGCAGGGGCAGGTATGATGCCAGGGGCTATGTAGTCTTTGTTTGGCTAATTGATGAGATCAGCCAAAGCAAAAGAGAATGTTGAGTCAACTGGCACCACAGGATTAGTTTGTTGCAGTGGAGTTTCCGTCCTAGGAGGTAGCTTGAGACTGGCACTCCTTGTCTTGTCCTGCTGAGTCAGTGGTTTCCATATCAAGGCCTGGTTATCATTGGATATTCTGCTCCCAGCGCCAGCTGTAGAACTCCTTTGTCTCTGGTCTCAGCATGTCCCACACTAAACTCCCCAGTTCTCAGGTAGTCCTCGCAGGAGGGGGTTGGGTGGGTTGCTGAGACATCTCTTTAGTCCATCAGCAAATGTTGTTCAGCTCTCAGATGCCACAAGACAGACGAGATATCCTGAGTGCCAGAGTCCATCACTTACCTCTTGGATTGTTTCAGACAAGCACTGTACATTCTGAATACCACAATGAGTTAATGAATTCTGCTTATCCAGATTAGGAAGATGTATTTTGCATTCAGACAATTCACTTATTTAGGGAGCTAAATGTAGTGCTCCTTACCTAGGCAGATTCCTAAAGAACATAAATGGACTGTGAGTTGACTGGGAAAATCCACATATACAAAATTGCAGAGACCAGAGTTTGCTGAATCAGAACCTTATTTTCTGTAGAAAAACAAATTAGTTTGAGATGTTCTTTAGCATTCCCATCTGGACATCTCACATTGAAATGCAATGTATAATTAAGGGGTGAGCATTAAGCTGTAAAAGACAGTCTTTACAATACTTTTATCTAATAATAAATTAAATCTCATGCAGCTCTTTAATTCAGGCTGTAAAGCTTCTTGCAGAATTAGAAAAAGAAAAGAAACCTTGCAAACTTTTTAGAGCATCTGACACAAACAATTATTTCCAGGCAGTAATTGTTCATGAGCATGTCATGAATGATTGAATTTATCTGAGACGATTCCCTCATTCCATGGAGAAAATAAAGCCACTTTTAAAATTAATTTCTGTTGGTATTATTACTTTTAGCAAGCTGAAGGAAAGGGGGATAATCTCTGTTCTTCTTTTCCCTTGAAAAGGGGGAGATTTTATTGTCCCTTTGGAAGAGAAAGACTAATTTTTTGCATTAGGGACTATAATTATGATCTATATAGAAGAAAAAATCTTTCACAATTTAAGAAGTTGTATAAATAAATGTCGTAGTATAATCATAGAACCTAAAAATAAGGTAGAAAATAATAACTTAGTTCCAACCTTTTTTATATTACTGCATAGTGATCAAATTCACTTTGTTTTTTTCCACAGCTACTTATGAAATGTTCTCTGTTATTAGACAGAAACTCAACAGTTAAGAGGAATCATACTGGCACTTTTTCTGATGTATCTCCCAGGGCAGTCTGCTCTTTTCACACGTGGTCTTTGCTGTTGTCCACCTTGCTGTTCAGTTGCATCTAGGTTAGCATCAGTGTTCCATGTGTTGGGATCAGGAGTGCAGTTTTGGAACTGTGGTGGCTGAGACCCAGCTGGCAGCAGAGCACCACGTGTCTTCTCACTTAGAGCAAATGGTGGGATGCAGAAAATATAACAGCTCATGGGATGACACAAGGACAGGGAGGGTTCACTCACCAGTTAAGATAAGGTCACAGGCAAAACAGACTCAGCTTGGGGAAAAAAATCAATTTAATTTGTCACCAAGCAAATCAGAGCAGGACAATGAGAAACAAAGCCAGAACTTAAAAATACTATATCCCCCACCCCTTCCTTCTTCTAGGGCCCAAATTAATTTAAACTGACAGAGGGTAGATTTAGGTTAGACATTAGGAAGAAGTTCTCCACTGAAGGTAGTGAGACACTGGCACAGGTACCCAGGAAAGCTGTTCCTGGAATTGTTCAAGTCCAGGTTGGATGGGGCTTGTAGCAACCTGGGCTGGTGGGAGGTGTCCCTGCCCATGCAGGGGGGTTGGAACTGGATGATCTTTGAGGCCCCTTCCAACCGCAACTATTCTGTGATTGTAAGTTGATTTTATTGTAAAACATTGAATAGCTGAAGACCTGCTGTGAGAGAAGTTCTCTGTCTTTGCTACTCAGACACTGCTTGCTGCACCTGAGTCACTCAGGCTGCAGCTGCCTCTGTACAAAAACAAGTGTAGAGAACAGTGTGGAGCTGAATAGAAAAGCATGTTATAAAGGCTTGTTTTTTTGTTTATTTGTTTGTTTGTTTTCTCCTTAGCTTGTAGAGTTAGAGGGTATTTTCATGGTAAAAAATTCAGGAATATATTTTGAGCCTTTCTTTCCTCTCCTTACAAGGCTAGATTGACTTGGTTACTCTGCTGAAGTTCTTGTAACTGCATCTAGCAATTTTTAAGTGCATACAGCACTATAGCATAGTGGGGTTTCTGTCTTCATTAAGTATATTTGAATTGGTGAAGTGTTAAACAAATAGCATTTATACATCTGTATATATATGCCATTTGATTACTTCTATGTGCATAATTCACCTTTTTATACTGCAGTTTAAAAGGATGAAATAAAATTATATTGATGAAAGATATTTTGTTCACAGCAAGATCTTTAGTCTAGCAGCCAGAGAGAGAGATTTAAAAAAAACAAACACAAATGTTTCAAATGACTGGAAGTTGAAAGTCAATAAATTAATATTAAACATAAAGCATACTTCTTAAAAGGGAAAGTATATATTTACTGGGTGATTTATCTGGGATTGTGAAAGAGTCTTCTTCACTGGGAGAATTAATCTGAATTAGATGAAGAGAAGAAAATGCTCTATGTGTAGTAGAGATACTATATTTAAAAAATATGGTCCTGGGAAGTGTTATGACCTGTGCTACAAAGCAGATGGACTAAAAATTATGAAAATGGTCTGTTGTTTTTTTTTTTATAAAATCACTGACTCCATAAAATCTATTCATTTTAGAATTACTCTAGCTCTTTCTGCCACTGGTGATTGTCTGAGTTTTGTTTGGAAACTGTCTCCAATCTGAAATCCATGTTTCTTACATCTGTGTGACCATAGGTTCAGGTGTCTGCAAGGCTGATTCAGTCCTTCTGTCTTTCAACTCAGATCAATTTAATTCCAGGCTTTGCTGTCTTGGAAACAAGGTTTTAAATATCGAGGTCCTGTAAGTTGTGCACAAAATCTAGAGTTGTTATGTTTAGAAGGCCCTGCTGGGAGTAAAAATCTGTAAGTCATGGTGCTTCAATATAATATTTTGGTTTTTTCTCCTCTGTGTCTAAACAAATAGGAGAGCATTTTATAGATGGGCTCATCTCCAAGAGATCAACCTAAATGAAGCAACATTGCACAAGTGAAAAGCATGCAGTGTGTTTGAACTGGCAGCAGACAGATAACAGCTCACTGCTGTTCTTCATCTTATTGAAAAATGTAGTTATTTTTCAAAGAAAATGAGGGTATTAAATTCTCCACACTTGAAAAACCTTAAGAGAGGGAATCTGAAAGTTAGTTTTGAATTAGATCTCACTTGTACAGAGAGGAAGTACAGTTTTTCTTAATGGTTGCATTAACTTGTCCTTTTGGTTTGCACTACATTTTCTCCAAGTTCAACATCTGTAATCTGTTAAATTTCAGTCTTGTGAAGACCATAAACTTCAAGATTATGAATGTCAGGCAGTAACAGCTATATGTTTCTTTCTGAATGTTTCTTTCTGAATTTTTCTTTTAGAATAAATCCCTGAAACACAGCATTTTCAGAATATTTTAGCTCTTTTTAAGAGGCATCCTCACGTCCTTACTGGTTACAGTGTTGAGATTTTGAATGTTACACCCTTACTTTACTGCAAATCCTGACTATGAAAACCTGGGAAAGGGCTGCATGTTATCTTTTATAGTCTTAGATATAAAAAGTGGCAACAGAAGAAAGTAAGAAGATTATACTTGGGTGGGGAAGGGGTGCTGGTTTTATAATGACCAGTGCAACTGGCTGGTTGAATGGACTTGAAGGATGAATAGGGAAGAGCCAGGGCTTGAAACTCTCTCCATCCTTGTTCCTGTTACTCACAGTAAACCCTATGCAGATAAAAAGCTGAGCCTTATGACAGGAAATACTCTGTTGCTCAGGCTGTTGTGTGATTATCTTAGTAGCTGGTTTCCTTATGACAGATTTTAAAGTAACATCCTGCCCTCAGGCAGCTGAGTAGAGTGGAGTGATTAAAGGCAATTGGAAAGCAAAAGCCATTGGCCATGATAATGATGTGTACCGATCTTTTTCTCTTTTCCAGTGGCAGTGACTATGAATTCATTTTTTCACCTAAACTTCACCTCCTGTCTATCCTGTTCCATACACTATTAGCACAGGCGTCTCTTTAGAGTTGCCCGAGTTTCATTACCATACTGTCATACTTTGTTGTTGCTTCTTCCAGTGCTCAGCATCAAAACATGTATCCTCTTTCAGCCCAATGAAGATGGCTGAGTTTTACTCCCATCATGTGCACTTCACCATGAAACCAGCAAAGCAGCTGATTTCCCATTACAAACAGTGATGTGCTTTTCATGTTGGAAACCAGGCTGCAATGTAAATATCACTAAAAGGCTTGTCTACATTATGTCAGAGGGTTTGGACCACTTCGTAGTGACTGAGCATCTTCAAGACAGAGCTGTAATGAGAACTGGCAATGATTAGCACCTCTGCTACCAAACTTGACATTGTCGCCAAGCATGAAATGCCAGCCTGGATGATTTCTTCTGTAATGGTTGGCTCTCTAGGTTGACACAGAGGCATATGGGTATCCAGGAAGGTGGGGATTTCCCTGCACAGTTACTATGATCCTTTCTCTGTTACCACCATCATATATTGTACCTACAGAAGGTACTTGTGTCCAGATCATTGTGCTAGATGCTGTTCAAGCACAAAATTGAATATAATCTTCCTCCTGAAGTCTGTATCTAGTTTTGCACCATTTATATTAAGTAAAATACTAAAGGGTGAGTTAAAGTAGACTGTCTGTATAAAACAAAGAAAATTTTTGCTTCTAATTTTTTGCTAGAAGGTGAAAAAAACAAATGAGCAAATCAATCAGCTATCTTTTTTCTTCCTCCTTCCAACATTTTACACAACCTGAAGCCAGCATATACATAACAAGGTTTAATCAGTCTGCCCACAGACCCTCACACATTTGTAGCACCAGAAATGGAAATAACGTGGTTTCAGTTTAGGGGATGAGGCAAATTCCAAAGCTCTGTATCTGAAAAGAACCATATGAAGTAACAAGATAAAGCAGTTTACATTTGTTTCAAAACTGGTTGAAGTAATTTACATTTTCTTTCAAGGGGAAATTTCTTGCTTGCTTTGATAACTTTTTCTTCTAGGATGTTAGTTACTCATGCCAGGTATTTACTTTTGTTTTTGAAGATTATGTGGAGATTCCAGTAATGGAATAGTATTAGTGTCCATTCATATATGAAATAACATTATTTTGAAATACTGCATTCCACTTGTTAGTGTTTCCAAAGGATGTTTGTTCCTGGAACTGCATTCATCATGTTAACAGAGTAAAGAAGAGTTGCAGCAAGGTAATGATAAATGCCATTTGTAAAGAAAAGTGGAATTGAAACAACTTCATTTTTAAGACAATTCGATTTTCACTTGACTGCTTGGGCTGACAAGTTAATTCAGAAGGGAAGAAAAACATCATTTCCTGGGTGGGTAGTCAATGAAATAAGAGCTTACTGTACATAGGACTTGGTATCCTTTATAAGCTGGTCATCTCCTCTCTCTTGCTTTCTCTCCCTGTCTCTCTCTCTAGACCCCTGAAGAGCTAGAAGATGACTCAGACTTTGAGCAGGAAGATTATGACGTTCGCAGCCGAACAAGTGTCCAGACTGAAGATGACCAGCTTATTGCTGGCCAGAGTGCAAGGGTGAGTGCAAAAGCCCTGTACTGCATTGTCTGTAAAGCTGCAAATGGAAAGCTGTGCCTTGGGAAGCCAAGGCAGTGATTTCAGATCTTCAGGGTCCCTTAGGAAAGGGCAGGGGGTAAAGGGACAAGGTAACCCAGGTGTTTAAAGGTGGTTTTTTTATGTCTCACGACCTATTTGAAAAGCACTGACTTTATTGAATGGTCTTCCTGAGGCTTATGGGATGCCTTTTATCAACTGTGTGCTGTAGGAGAAGGCCTTGCAGGTTTGGAATGTGATGAAATTGTGGGAGCAGTCGGGAAATTATTAAAAAAGAAAAAAAAATTCCCATCAGGGCACCATGTGCTGTATCCAGAGAAATCTTACATTAGCCATCTTTACCAGTGTGCAAACGTGTCAAGAAGATCTGCTTCAACTACTGAGTAGTCCCTATAATTTAATTGAAATTGAAGACATTTGTTACTGAGTCAATGTAATTTTACCAGGGTAATTACATCATGATAAACTCCAGTCACTGTGATTTGTGACCTTGGCTGGTGCATGGGGATTGCAAATTAAGCTGATGAGTGCTTCAGGGGTCACAGGTGCTGGAGAAGTGAAGTTTGTTAACACTCAAGATTATGCCACCCTCTGATGAATGTTTACATTTTACTAAATAGGCTGCTCAGCTCAAATTATTAACAAAAATGTCATCAGAATATAATTTGGGGGGCAAACAACATTAGGAAAATATGTTTGGGTCCAAAGAGAGTTAAAAAAAACAAAACCATAAACATTTTCCATCAGAGAACCAGTAGGAACTGGGAATTCCCTGAATTATTTTCATGGTTGTTTTGTACAGGTTTGCAGGTTTCTTCTGATGAGTGCTAAAAGTGAGGTAATGCACCAAATTAAAAACATCCTTCACACACACACTCAAAGGCTGTAGCAAAAGCTGGTAAATAGAGCAGTGACTTCTTACCTTGAGTTCTGGAAGAGGATTTGTAGGACTGAGAACCTAAAGAACAAAAGGCAACAAAGCTTTGAAAGATCACTTCAGAGGACCATGAACAAGGTCCTCTGCTGCTGTAGGAAGACCCACAGTTTGTTAGGGCTTGACACAAGCATTTTACAACCTGAAAGGAAAAAATATAGTAATGAAAACCTTTATGAAACTTACTCAGAGGTATTAGAGGAGTGCAAGACAGGTACAGTGGAATGGGCTGAGGTTTCTTTTTTTATCTTAACTTCATTTTCTTGAATATTGAATACAGATGGTAAATAAACAGTATCATGTGTCAGTAAAGTTGGTTTTCTGTCAGTGCATCCCAAATACAAACTATTTTGTCCTTGTTTATCAAGGATATACTGTGTATACCATTACCATCCAGATGAAGACCAGGTAGGTTGTAGATCCCACCTCAGAGAGCTAGGTGACCAGCAGAATGATGCAGGGGTAGCTTGCCCTGAGCACTGTATCAGAACTATGTTCTGGATGCAGATGACTATCTTTGGGGGATTTTTAAAGACCAAAAAGTCCTTTTTGATATATTCAAAAAGTTGACTGCTAAAGTAAGTCTCAGATACACAAATCTTGAGGTACTAGACAGTTACTCAACAGTCTTATTATAATTATTTATTTATTTATTTTTGTTACATCTAGGATTAGGTAGCAAATCATCCTTTTTTGAGCTGAAAACCAAATGAAGACTGCAGTAGTATTTTTACTAAGAACCTAGTTCATCTAGGGACTTGGGAGTCTTAAATTCTATTACATTTATTGCGGTTATTATTACTGCTGCACTTAAAACCTTCTGTTTTGATCAGCTACACACTGTGTAAACATAATATATTATAAAGACAGTCCCATTCCAGAATAATGTAAAATGCAATCTGTCACAAGAAGCAACAAACAATGAAAACCTCAAATGAAAACTTGCTAAACAGAAACTGCCCAGTCCACAGCCTTGTGACTAGTTGAAATGAGTCTGCTAAGCAAAGTAGTATCTTATTTGAACCTTTTCTGTAGAAAAGCTGGATTTGTTTATTTTTTGGTGGAATTTAATGGCTTCTTTTCATATGCTTATTCCATAAAGCTATTAGTACTTCATATTGGTCTTCAGTAGAAATAAAAATTGAATATACAAGCTACATTTGCTATAGGATATAAATTGGAAAATGCATTGACAGCTGGAATAGAAATGTTAAAATCCTGTATAGAAGTTTGAAGGGAGTGCAGGTGAAGCTGCTCATAGAGAGAAACCCATGCAAGACATACAGGTTGGCTTTCCAAATTTTACTGTTCCTATCATGTATTCTTAATTTCAGTTAATTAATCTGTTCTTAGTGTTTTATATGTATTTTATATATTTATTTATTAGCTTGACTTACCCTACATTTTCCTTTGGAAGGGCTCTTATGCTACCATTTGAACCTGCTGAGTTACATTGATAAGGCCTAATTAAAACCCATGCATTGAATTCTAATTTGATTAACTTGCAAATTTCTAATTTTCTGATCTACTGTTTATAACCTTTTTAATTTCTGTTTTGGAAAAGGTCAATTATGAATTTTTAAAAGCCGACAGCATTTTAAGAACATGGAGAGAGAGACTTCAGCTGATTGAAAGTGACATAAACAAGAAAAAAATGTAATGACACTTAAATATGTGTCACACCCCATTAAATGCATAGTGTGGTCTTCAGAACCCCTGAAGCCAATCAGTAGCTCAACTTGGAAATCATGAGTGGAAGTGTCCATTTGATCTTTAGAAGTATTTATGAAAATTTTGTAGGGTTTTCTTTTTTTGTTGTTTTGGGGGGGGCAGGGAACTCTCTGCTTTGTTGATAATGTCGAGGCAGATTAGTATCAACCTGGGTAATGCCTCTTTGCAGATCTTCCAAGAGACAATTACACCACTAAATATTATTGAAAGGTACATTCATTACAAATGAATCACTTCAAATGTATTAGCTTGCATGTCATAGCTTATTTTAGTGTTGGGTTAAGCAGAAAACTTTATTTCTGACACAGAATGGGACCAGAAGAAATACTGGAAATTCAATCTGCCTTTTCCCATAAATGTCATTCATTTTTTCTCCCTAAAAGTTAGGATTTCACATAAATTTTATTTAATTTTCCTGTATTGACTAGTGAATAATCTGTATATCATGGCATCGCACATATATTTATTTTTTTTTAATTATTGAAGAGCTATAAACATCCTGTGAGTTTGGTTTTGCCTGTCCTAAGAGAATCCTACTGGATTTTGCTTGGCATCTTCAATTGGAAATATTCAAGATCAGGCCTAACCAGGCTCTGAGCAACCTGGTCTAGTCAAAAAGGTCCCTGTGCAGGGCAGGGGGGGATGGAACAGATGATCTTTAAAGGTCCCTTTCAACCCCCATTCTATGAGTTTATGATTCTTTGAACTCCTTTAGACACTAGAAGTTGGGCACACTGTTTGGACAACTGGAAATGTGTCATTTCTAGCTTCCTTTTTCATGCCCAGCTTCTCCCATTTTTTCCCCAGGCTATCATGGCTCAGCTTCCTCAGGAGGAGAAGGCTAAGATTGCTGAGCAGGTAGAGATATTCCACCAAGAAAAGAGCAAACTAGATGCAGAGGTGGCCAAGTGGGATGACAGTGGTAATGACATCATTGTGTTGGCAAAGCAGATGTGCATGATCATGATGGAAATGACAGACTTCACTAGGTAAGGACAAAATAACCTCAGCTGAGGACTTTTTGTTTGTCTTAAGTGAAAAAGAGGCTGAGGGGGATCTCATCAGTGCTGATCAATATCTACAGGGGGTGTCGGAGGATGGGGCCAGACTCTTCCCAGTAGTGTCCTGGAACAGGACAAGGGGCAATGGGCACAAACTGGAGCACAGGAGGTTTAACCTAAATATGAGAAAATCCTTCTTTACTCTGAGGGTAACAGAGCCCTGGAACAAACTGCCCAGGGAGGTTGTGGAGTCTCCATCCCTGGAGACATTCCAAACCTGCCTGGGTGTGTTCCTGTGGGATCTGCTCTAGGGGATCCTGCTCTAGCAGGGAGCTGGACTAGATGATCTCCAGAGGTCCCTTCCAACCCCCACCATTCTGTGGTTCTGTGATTCTGAGTGTGACTTCTTCAGACACCCCACATCTCTCCCTTTTGTTACAATTCCTAGCCTATTCAGATGATGCTCTGTGTTTTGGGGAGTGCAAAGCCAGGTAACAAACACCAGATGTAGCAGGATGGGTTTTGCTGGTCTCCATGTGCTCCAGATATTTCTCCACATGGGATTAATCACATGAAGTTTTTATCCTATTTGCAAGTGCATTTTATTTGCAGATCATCTTGAAATTGAGAGGGAAAGGTAGTCTGTAGCCTTACAGACACTCAACTGACATTTTGTTTAGTGCCATCTAAATGCATGTGCCTCTCTGAACTTTAAACATTTGTTACAATTTGTGTCCATCAAGAATAATGGCAAAACTACTTATATATTTCTGAACACTGAACTTCTTTCCAAAAAAAACCCAAATGAAATGAAACTGTTCTGATCTAATACTTTATTGGAGCCTGTCAGTAATGATGTTTTTTTGCTTTAATTTAATTTTTCTATTGATGTCTTGTTCTTTCCTAATTGCAGAGCATCAAAAAGGCATTTATTAATGATATCACAGAAACATAATTATTTAGTTTAAATATAGTTATATTATTAATCATACCAAAGAGAACATTTTTGCAAGATTCTTTGAATTACAGATCACCATAATAAATTAAAGGTCTTTCAGAGTTTATTTTTAATGGGAGGCAAAAAGTTTAAATGGTATTTATCAAAATATAATTAGACAAAACTGGAAAAGAATTATCATGTTTTTTTCTTGAGAATTATCACGCAATTTCCATTTATTCATCTCACTGAGGTGCTAGAACAGATTTCTTAATCTCAAGCTTTGTTTCTGGAGCCTTCAAGCCATTTTTGAGGAGACAGTCTCTGCATTGACAATATAGGGTTTGCACATACTGGATGGATGGATGGATAGATGGATGGATGGATGGATGGATGGATGGATGGATGGATGGATGGATGGATGGATGGATGATGTGTGTATGTAAATGTCTTTAATTTGCAAATTACTATTTTCACTTGCATAGTTAATTGATAATAGTCAAAAGCAAACATTATCTACTTCAAATATACTTATGCACATAGAAAGTTTGCTTACTTTAATAGATTACTACTATGCTTCTTTCCAAGTAATTATTCTCTCAGGTTCATTTTCTCTCTGTTTGTCCTTTTACAACTATTGTTTTTTTAGTAGATTCACCACTCCTGTATATCAAATGACAGTGTAGAAGCTCCTGTGAAGAGTGATATTTTAAAGGAATGTTTTTTACTTTTCTATTTATTTTGTCTTTGGGTCTATGATCCTTCTGCCTAAAAACAGAGTGAGGAAATGTCCTAACAGTGCCATCATTTCATGGAATGAAGAAATAAGGGTCTAAAGCAGCAGCAAGAATCTGAACACTTTCTGCAACATGCCAGGCAACCTTTGATACGTTGAACATCATATTGAAAGTTTTGTAATTACAATTTCTACTATCAAAGTGACAGAACTAATATGGGAATGAGAGAAAACTAGTCACATTTGAAGTAAATTAAAAAAAAATTAATATCAAAGTACACACCTCTGTTTGCATCAGATTTAATAAAAATCTCTTTAATAAATTCCCTTAAAACAGAACAAAGCCTTTGACAGCTTTTGCTTCACTGTAACCTCAGCAGTGTTAAAATAGAATAATTATTCAAATGTGTGGAGTTTGTGCCAGTCTGATCTGCTGATGTAATTAATGTAGAAGGATACGAGGTCACTAGGAAGGATTTCTGCTATAGTTTATCAACAGAAGTGGCATAGTTGTATTTCAGTAACTGTTTCAGGTGGAAGTGAAAGTATGGAAAGAAGATAAAAATGGAAACATGTTTCAGTACATTATTCTTGGCATTATAGATGAAAAAAATGCAAAAATGCACTTAGAAAAACTGCCTTCAGTTTTAGTTTCAAAAATGTTAAGTTTGATCATATTATGACCTTCCATTACTCTTGTCCACCACATATTATGAAAAGAAAAGAAAAGAAAAGAAAAGAAAAGAAAAGAAAAGAAAAGAAAAGAAAAGAAAAGAAAAGAAAAGAAAAGAAAAGAAAAGAAAAGAAAAGAAAAGAAAAGAACAACTCATTTCCAACTGAACCATTCTCAGGAGCAGGAGCAAATCTATTATGGTTTGAAGCAGACTCAGAAAAATGTATCTGTATACACTTTGGTAACTTTAATGACTAAAACCAGAGTTTCTTGCACCATCTTAAAAATAGTGAAAGATCAGTCTTTAAGCTAGTTATACATGTTTTAAGGGTAACATAAGGATTATTCTTCCAGTATCATTGTTTTCTGACAAAAATCTACTAAAAAATATTTTCTAAAATACAACATTCTTGCACTAGACATGAGAGGCTTAACATTTAGCACTCGCTTGAGAATAACATAATTTTGAGATAGTTGTGTATTCCAGCAAGAATGTTGGCTTAATGAGCACTTAAAAATGCATATGCTATTAAGAGTTTGAAGGCACCATCAGACTAAATTGATAAGGCATTTTGTAAGGGAGAGGAAATATAACAGACCACTTTCTTAAGCCCTGCCATGAAGTAGTGAAAAGGTGAAGTTGTTAATCATTAAGTCATTCATGTTACTATTTTAAAATCAAACACTAAACAGGGTCACTAAAACTTGCCTTTCATGATTTCTTTGGGTTATGCATAATTGTCTTGTATTTCACAGAGGTAAAGGCCCCCTGAAGAACACATCAGATGTCATTAATGCAGCCAAGAAGATTGCAGAGGCAGGTTCACGGATGGACAAATTGGCACGGGCCGTAGCTGATCAGGTAACAACAAAAATGAGCACAAATGTAATTTAACTCTGTCAATGAGTTGTTTTTTTCAGGAAAGGGTTATCTTTATTTGACAGAAAGTTATCTGTAGAAGATCACTGCCTGGATACTTATCTACCCACTGAATATAAGTTGTTTCTTCTATACCAATCAAGTTGGGTTTTGCAGTTTGGGAAAGTCATAACTTATTCTCTCTGAGCCTCAGAAATGCCTGAATTGTTGCTCCACAGCCTCACTTCTGGACCCAGATGATTATACTGGAATTAGACTGATATATTTGCTATCATGAAAGCAGTAGAGACTTGGATACTCCACTACCCTTGACATATGCCTTATATACTTATATATCCTTATATTCTTCTCAGCTTAATCTTTCAGCAATTTTGTTTGATTTTGCACTTTTCTTTTTTAAGATTCCCTGAATCCCTTTCTTCAGCTTTACATCAGTGCATTGGACTTTAACCTTCCAGCCCCTGTACCATGTTCTACGGTCCATGTCCCCAGTCACATTACCAAATTCATGTCACGACCAGACAGATGAACTTGCCATATTCAGAACCTTTATTTCAGATTGGATCATCTATCCAGCTGGGAAGCAAGAGAAAGCATCATATTAAAAATCAAGAGCCAAATTTCAAATCCAGTTTGCAAGTAGCTCATTTTAGATTCAGGCATATTAAAATTGACTAGTTTTTCCCTTGTAAACTTCCTATAGTTTCTTACCTTTCATTTTTATAGAATCATAGAGTCATAGAATGCTTTGGGTTGGAAGGGACCTTATAGATCATCCAGTTCCAACCGCATGCATGGGCAGGGACACCTCCCACCAGCCCAGGTTGCTCCAAGCCCCATCCACCCTGCCCTTCAACACTGCCAGGGATGGGGCATCCACAGCTTCTCTGGGCAACCTGGGCCAGGGTCTCACCACCCTCACAGCAAAGAATTTCTTCCTAATGTCTAACCTAAATCTCCTGTCTTCCAGTTTTGATCCATTACCCCATGTTCTCTCACTACAAGCCCTTGTAAAAAGCCCCTCCCCATCTTTTCTGGAGCCCCTTCAGGCCCTAGAAGGTGCTCTAGGGTCTCCCTGGAGCATTCTCTTCTCCAGACTGAACAGCCCCAACTCTCTCAGCCTGTTTTCAGAACAGAGCTGCTCCAGCCCCCTGATCATCTTCGTGGTCTTCTCTGGACTCACTCCAACAACTCTATGTCATTCTTATGTTGGGAACTCCAGAACTGGACCCAGCACTGCAGGGGGTGGGGCGGGGAGGTTGGGGGGTGTCTCACCAGAGCCAAGGGGGAGAATGCTTCTGCTGGAACTTTTGCTTGAAGTGGCAACTGACAACTTCCTTGCCTCCTTGCCTTTTCTTTCTCTTCAAAATAAGTGTTTCTTCTTCAAGTAAGCATGTTGTAATTGTGTGTAACACATCCTACCAGGGAATATGAGCCAGAGTGGCAAGAAACCTGAAGTTGCCCATGTTCCTATAACCTCAGAAATCTGGGAATTAGGTTTTCTTCCTTTGCAGCAAGCATTTTTTCCTGTAGTTAACCCATTCCAGTCCTTCAAAGGTAGCATCTGTTCATTTTAGCATGAGACAGAAATCCATCTGTCAGCTGATGAAATTCCTAGTCTATAATATTTGCAGAGGTGGAGTGCACTGGCCTGAGGCACATTTTACACTTAAGAAGACAGTAAAATCACAGTGAGAATGAAGTGTTTGTTTTGATGCTTGCACTTTAATGATATTTTACAGAACTTTGTAGACATTCATGCAATATAAACTTTTTACGAACAGTTGCATTTTTAATTACTGTTCCAGTGAGAGAGATCTTACGTTTTCATTCACTTCAAAGTACTTGTATTTAAAGCCTTGTCAGCTCTCTAGAAGTAGTGCTTTAAAGTTCATTTCCTTCAGTTCATAGACTTCAAGAGTAGGGTAAATATTTCTATGTGAAATTGTCACCAATAGGGAGGTCTCTTAGGGATTAATGCCTAAAAGCTGTGGCCACTGTCTGAGAAAGGGATGCCCTACGGCTGCAAATATAGAGCAGATTAAACCTGCCAGCTACACTGAACCTCCAGCTTTGTTTAATGTTAGTTTTAAAGGGAGAGAAAAAAGCAAAGTGACTGCTTTCAGGGTTATAGACAGTATATGCAACTACTTAACCATAAAGACATTCCTTGGCAGATTTAGCTGTTGGGGCTAGAGCAGTCCTCTCCAGTCAGAGGTTTTGATGTTGTTGATTTATGTGTATTTAATTCTATCTGGTTTGGTTCAAGTGCTCTGGCAATATTTTACAAAAATTGAGCATAAACTTTGTGAGATGCTAAAAAGATGTATCTGGAATCCTTTTTCCCTAAGCTGTACGTTCAAAGAACTTTGTCAGTCAGACTTTGTTGAGTAGTCCCAAAGAGTATTTATTGGAGACACGCTGTTAGCAATGGACCCTATTAGCAGGTTTTCATCAGAGTGAGTTACTGAGGTCTGTTCTCTTGAGGCAACACTTTGAATATTAACTATGAGAATGTTGTTTATTGTGCTGTTGATGATGTGGGGGATGGTGCATTTTCTATTAAGAGTCCCAAAGGCTATGAATAAATTGTGCTTGGGTCTTTTTCTAGTTATATTGATTATAAAACCTTTACTGAGTCTACCGCATTTGACCTAACGCAATTTGTACCGAAGCAGATTGGAGATGCACTGCATCCAGATTGGTACAGGGCTGTAGATAGTGTTCGCTCTGGAATGGAGAGGTATCCCTTAGGCATGCAGAGGGACCAGCTTATCCCATTGTGTTCTGGAGAAGGGCTGCAGTGCTGATGTCATCTCCTGAGACACTCGGCGTTCCATCACCCGTCAGGGGAAATTTCCTTCTGGCATGGATTAAAGTATTTGTGCATTAATAAGACGCTTGCCAAAAAGGGGACAAATCTTCTAGCAGGACCTGTTGTGACAGGGCAAGGGGTCATGATTTTAAACTAAAAGAGGATAGCTTTAGACCAGATATAAGGAAGAAATTTTTTACCAGAAGCCCTGGCCCAGGCTACCCAGAGAGGTGGTAGATGCTCCATCCCTGGAAATATTAAAGGTCAGGTTGGACAAGGCTCTGAGCAACCTCATCTAGTTTAAGATGTCCCTGCTCACTGCAGGAGGGCTTGGACTAGATGTGCATTAAAAGTCCATTCCAGCCCAAACTATTCTATGATTCTGAATCTGTCAATAACAAAACCAAGCTATCTCAGCTCTGCCACTCAAGTCCTTAGTGTGTCAGTAAGGGCTGGGCTTCTGCCAAGCCTGAAGCACAGCTGTGGCCTCTGAAGGTCTGCACAAATGCTGGGAAAGCTGGCAAGACAGTCAAGAGTTGGCATTAGAGTGGATGTAATGAGTCAGAACTTGGTTTATCTGAACTTTAACTCGTCCATGTTACAGAATCACATAATCATTCAGTTTGAAAAAAGACCTTTAAGATCTTCAAGTCCAACCGTAACCTAACTCTACCTACCATTAACCCAACTCTACTGAGTCCAGTGCTTAAAACATGTTCCTAAAGCACCACATCTATATGTCTTTTCAACACCTCCAGGGATGATGATTCAACCACCTCCCTGGGCAGCCTGTTCCAGTGTTTAATTACCCTTTCACTGAAGGAGTTTCTTCTAATATCTCATCTAAACCTCCCCTGGTGAAACTTGAGTCCAGTTCCTCTTGTCCTGTCATTTGTTACCTGGGAGAAGAATCTTGTATCTTGACCTGGACACCCAGCAGGCAACCTGGAGTTTCAGGTCAAAGATTCTTCCGTTCTGTACCAAATGATAATCATAAGTGAACTTCCCCCAGGAACACAGCAATCATGTTATTGTCTTTCATGAGTGGCTGACAGGGGAGGTTCTTTATACAAGAAGGTGTAGCACATCTTCAGGTTACAGTTCACGAGCCTTGAGTTGCATAAAAGGTAGAGTTTGAATTTTCACATTTCATCAAGTGTCCCACGTACAGATGAAGTGAAATGGGTCCACCTATGATCATGTACATGCAGCTACATCTAATCAAATATTTCTTTTGTCTGTAGTGCCCCGACTCAGCCTGCAAGCAGGATCTGCTGGCCTACCTGCAGCGCATTGCCCTCTACTGCCACCAGCTCAATATCTGCAGCAAAGTGAAGGCAGAAGTTCAGAACCTGGGAGGAGAACTTATTGTATCAGGGGTAAGCTGGTATTTGTATTTAGCTGTTTATGTTTCCCATGTAGCACTTGAAAGGGAGCATCTCTGATGGCAATAATGTACAAAACAAAAACACAGTGATTCATAAGGAAGCTTTTTAAAACGTTATCGCCATTATTCCAGACCTTACAATAATCTTGCATAGAGCAATTGGATTTTCCAATTACCCTTTGTTTATACTAACCTCGTAAAATCTTCATTCCTCCAAAAGAAAAGTAATTTCATAGCCTAGAAAGTCATTGCCAAGCTGTGAATATTATAATTATTTGGAGCTTTTGTATATTTGCTCATTATAAATCTTCTTTCCTTTGTTAGTACTGGTAATTTCCTTCCTCTGTGAAGCAGCCAGCTCTGTATGAAGTGCATATTGTTAAGATGGTGATGACTAATGGGATTTTATTCACTCAGGTTCCAATGCATACTAGGTTTAGCAAAAACTCTGGAAGGCCAGCAAAATATTTGAATTTTTGATGCATGTGCTGTTTTCAAATACTATTGGCAAGCATAACAATTATATACTCTAATTCCCAACCAGTTATTTCAGTTATTTTCAATGAACACTAAAAACTTTTTACACACAATCTGTTTTAGAAATAAAGACAGAAATGTGCAGCAGGAGTAATATTATAAACAATGAGTTTTCCACATTTTAAAATTATTTTTTCTTTTCTTCTTCTAATGGTGAACTCTCTGCCTCTGGGAGATCACTAGAACCAAGCAGTAGCAATTGCTGCTCTCTGTGACTTCCTTGTTTTGATCTTTTAACTACTCACCCCAGTATATTATCCCCATGACACCTTTGTTATCTTTTAACTCAAATAGGCATGTAAATATATGTTTCACTCTCCTGAGTGTCTTTTCAAAATGATTGTGATTTGTGAGACCCAGGATGTTAGACAAGGTTATTTTCAAATGTGGTTTTGAAAAAGCACCCCTTTCATTGTTTAAGCCCAATCAAGTACGAAGATTGTTAGGTCAACTAACTTGTGCCCTTCATTTCATCCATAAGATTCCCCAGTGAACTCACTGGCCTTCCTCAAACATATCAGAAGTCAGAGCAAATGTTCTCACATAACATTTTTTATTTTTTCAAAGCACTATAGAAGGTCTTAAACATTTGCTAGCTTTCTTGGATCAAATATCCTGAAGTCATGTATGGAATCCTAAAAGGAGCTGCTCAGATGTTCCCGTGCCTGTCCTGCAATTGGTCTTCACTTCTTGACATATGTACATATGTAATTTTAATACCTTGATCTTCCCACAGCAATGAAAAGATCCTCTTCCATTTTCCTGATATTAATGGAGTGATCAGTCTTTGTTTTGCTGACAGCCATGCTGCATAGTAAATGCTATGATCTTTTCTTACCTACTGCCATCTGGGTCCAGCTTTTCATACCCATTGACTTGTCATATTCATCTCTCTATAGCAATTACCTCAACCAGTGCTTCTACCAGCTTGGCTTTTGTGGTTGTGTGTGTTTCTTTTTCAAGTCTCTTTATTCAGTGTATGTGGATGCTGAATAAGCCATTGTGAATATCTGGCATCTATTTGTTACTGGAACATCCCCATCCGTTGTGAAATTTAAGTGGCTGAACCGCCTGACTTCATCATTTCCAGTCTGGCATTGTGAGCATCTGCTGCTTACCAGGCTCCATCACCATTGTGTTTCTGTTTGGTTGGGGTTTTACAGTTAGTTGTAGAAAAAGGCAAAACTAGCTTCAACCACAGAACTTATGTGGGTCTGTTCCAAAGACATGCAGAAAATGTTAAGACTGCCCAGCTTGCTTCTTCTGCTGTTGCTCCGAACAGGAGCTGATGCGGAGAGTTGAACTCCTGTGCATCCCATTTTGAGAGCATTATCTTGTTACCTGGTATAACACAGTTAGTTCAGTGCTTCTCCAGGCTGTTTATCTTGAAGGTGCTGGGTACTGTATGCTCCTTTGCTATCCAGAGATCTGGTATCCAAGTGCACATCTACATCTGCTTGTTTACTTGCTGCTTCTGCTTCCATCCTCTTCCTCATTTTCTCTTGGATAGCCAATTACAAATAAACAGTATTTTATTTACTTAAAATGAAATACCATTATTTGGCAATTTGCATACAGTACAATGTTAGAAGTACAGTAGAAATCCAGAATTCAAGCTTCTCAACCTATGACTGCAGAAGTAAGTTTTTTGTGAATGCACTATATTGAAGTGTTTAGATGTAAATACCAAGCACCAGAATGATGATCATAATATTGTCATTTTTGCATTATTAAGGTTATAAATCAATATTTATAAATGGAATTAATGTATGCATCTGTTTGTATGAATCTAAGTGTGGGCGTATGTATATTTCTGTAAAAGGAAAGAGACATAAAACCAATTAAAACAAAAAAGACAGATGAAAGCCACCCCACAGTTCTTAGAGTTCTGTTAGAGAAAAATGTGTTGCAACAACTCCAAAAATGTTGTGTACATAACACAATGTGCTATCTATCTTTTGGTGAAGCTTCTATTTATTTTTTTTTTGCCCCACAAAATTCAGTAGTTCAGTATGGTTTATCTCTGAAAATAAACACAAAGCTGATCTTATTTGTTTTTTCCTCTCTAGATTGATGTAATACTAGCATAGCATATGAAGGGGGTCTTTTTGGCATCATAGACTTTGCTGCAAATAGAAAAACAGATCAAAAAGTAAGAAAATGTCACACTCCTGAACCTTACGTTATTTCAGTAAAGGACCCACTCTTGTTTTTTTTTCCTTTCTTTCTTCCATTCCCTTTCCCCCAGCTCTTTCTCCCCTTTGATCTTTCCCATCAAATTCCCTGCATGCAGATAGAAAAATTATTTTCACCAGCTAAGTCAGACCTGGCAATTGAGAGTTAGCATACATGAGCCTAACCTCAATAATATCAATGAAGCAAAGCCTGTTCAGACTGTTGACTTGGCCCTTTGTGTTGCAAGTTGAGACTTAATTCCTGCTTCTAATTGAATTTACAAAAGTTAAATAAGTCTGATAAAAGCAAAAAGGAAGTAATATGTTAAAAGTGCAACAGATTTATAAAATGTTTCCAGTCGATGTAGATGATATCCTTCTTTATCAGTCTCTTTGACCTTAATCCATAAACAGATATATGTTTGTGTAATTTTAAATTTGAATATTGAAGGTCTAATTCCCCTCTAAGACTAAACAACCTCTTTTAATGAAATCACAGACTAAAGGCACTTCAAAACAATTTACTTTTACTCTTACCTTAGTTTATGTAATGTAATGTGTGTTTGCTCCATCATCAGTTGCAGTATTGTATTGGAATGAGGTGCTGAGCATATGCTCCTCTCAGTGAAGTAAATACCATTTACATATACTTAGCTCATGCTGATAGATAACCTTTTTGTGCTAGCTACTTCTGCTGAACAGAGTTCGTTGTAACCATGAGGTTTGTTATTTGGATAAAAATCAGACTTCTAACTTCTGGGCTGCTTTATTTTTATTAGTATTCCTGTCTGACTCTTGTTAGTTAGACCATTATACTAAAGCAGAGTTATATATTCATTTCTTACCCTAGAATAAATATCCACTTTTATATAAATAACCACTTTTTCAGCTCTGAAGCTGATCAGCTCATTTACCTACTCTCCATTTAGACTTTCAGCTTGCATTTTTAGAAATTCTTGTTTATGTTAGTAGCCTTGCTAGAGCTTTTCCTGCAGGATCATACTGAAAAGAATCAAAGAAAATCCCTTATCCAAGGCAGCCCCCTATTGTGTTCAGGTTTGATTTAGAATTCTACAGCTATAATCAGCTGGATGATCAGAAAATTTGCCCAGAGAGTCTAAAACTTCTGAGCCAGATAGATACGTAGTGTCATACAGAGGAACAGCCAAGTACCTTTGAACACTGTCCAAAAATATTAAATTAATAGCCAAAGCACACTGCAAACTTAGACTTTAGCTGGGTCCAATTTCCAATTATTTTCAAAGTCCCATTTATCTTAGCATAATAGGCTCAGCTGTGATACTGAGAGCAGGATTCTTACCACATTTTGTAGACACAGGACAGTTTAGTTAAGATTGTGACTTTATCTATGAGTTCATGCTTGGTGAATTGAAGTGGGGATGTTGGGAGAAAAAGGAAGGTGAAAGGGTTGGAGCCACCCCATTAACATTGGGTAGGACATTATGAAAATTCCCATAGCACCTGGACTGGGAGGTTGGATACATAAAAGTATTACCAGACATGGGATATACTGCAAAATGACTGTATGCTTATTCTTGATTGGTGATCAGAACAACCTAACTGAAAATACCTAGTCCTCATCAAATCAGAATGAGCCTCTACTTCTTTTTCAGAGAAAAACAGTGTGCACCCAGCAGTTCCTCCAGGTGAGCTGGCAAACAGTTTCCCTATCCCTGCCTATGGATTTTGCAGCTTGTAAAACAAGACAGTTTAAAGGTCATACTTTTCTTCCATTTAAGGCTGACTCACCCAAAACTACTTAGTGCTGTAAAAGCAAGTTGGTATGCGTGTGGGCACAGGAGTATCAAGTTGCTACTTATGAATTCTATAGACTCAAAGAAAAGTCAGGTACTTTGAAGTTCACCTGCTATTAACTGTGAGTAAGGCCATCTTTCACTGAATTTAGATTAAAAAGCTGTGCATAAGCAGTTGCTTAAAAGCCCCTGATGTGGTATTGCATTTCTCTGCATCAGAAAGCCTTTCTGATTTTTTTTTGTTTTGTTTGTTTGATTTCAAGGAGGCAATCAGAAGGGAGAGAACCTTTGCATTTAAAGTGTCTGGGAGTATGCAGGATGTTTTGGAGTTTGGTTAAAAAAAAAAAAAAAAAAGGTACTTTAATTCCTCCTGAATCAGGCAAGAATTTAGCATTACCTAAAAGAAAGTTTGCTGAAGGGAGAGTTGGCAAAGAGACAAAACTGTTGGGTTCCTTTTCTTCAAGATTCTCAGGAGTGCAAAAAGGTTAATCCTGTTATTTATCTAG